AGTGGTGTATGATGAGTGGTGTATGATGAGTGGTGTATGATGAGTGGTGTTTGATGAGTGGTGTATGATGAGTGGTGGTTGAACGGCTGTTGAATGTCCGTAACACGGAAGTTTTGCACACTAAACTTCCTATTTGATAACGAGGATATGTATAGATAATGTATAGTTAAAGTATGATAAGTATGGACGTAAGTATGATAAGTACATAAAAAAGTTATCGCACTTAAAACAGACTTGTTCTGGAGTTAGAGTACATGCATTGCACTTATAAGTAAAATGTAAGTATGTCTACAAGTAGGACGTTAAGTAGACAGAACGGACTTAGCGTACTTAGAATCTAGTTAAGAACGCTTTGTTTTTAGAAGACATCCGCGCGCCCGCAGGATTTTTCGGCTCAAAAAGTTGAGGATGGCGGAGAGGGCGGGCTTACAAGACTACGCACTATTGGCAGACTTCCTGCGATGGGGCCGTTGGGTCCGCTATAGGCGATTGGGGACATCAGACGCATGTCTCGCATTTGTCTCGCGCCGGAGGGCGGGGCAAAGACACGGCATTGTCTCGCATATCTCGCGTTTGTCTCGCGCCAATGAGCGTAATCATCCGGCAGCCGCAAAACGTCTCTGGCGGGATAGTCGCGTGTTGTCTCGCCTTGTCTCGCGTTTGTCTCGCACCTGGCGGCAAGGGTTTGTTTTTTTGTTTAGGAGTGAAAGCGCACCGCTGCAGCATTTTCCGGTTCCGCGGGTATAGAGCAGTGTGTGCCCCCCTCTGCGCGCCATGTCCTTCCTGCGTTTTGTTGAGTTTTGCGATACATGACCGGTTCTTCGAAAAACCTTGGTTCTACCAGGTAGGTCAGACTTAGGTCGCGCTTGTACTACTTAGGTCTAAGTAGACTTAACATAGTTATCATACTTATAAGTATAAGTACGATAAGTATACTTATATAAGAGCAACGCCTTCTCAGTATGAACGAAGAGTTCAAGTTTGGCAGATGCAAGTGCAACATTATTTGACTGGAGCTGAAGCAGGTTTGATGCTTTTCTCCAGCTTTGGGTGGAGAGCCCGAAGCTGAAGCTGAACACATGGACCTCGAGAAGATCAATGCAAAGGATGGCGTGGCTTACATCCTTTCCTGTGTGAAGGGCCCGTTGGAGCAGAAACTGCTGTATCAGAAGAGAATGCTGCTGTCGAACTATGAGAACATTGCACAGCAAGGGCATGTTGAAAGGGACTTGCAAAGCGTTGGCATTAGTTCAGCTGCAATGTACGATGCGGAGTCGAGGGGAAACTGCATCTTAGAGCGTTGTAAGTTGGACCCATCATTGCAGAGGCTTGTGTTGATTGGCGCTCAGTGCAACCTTGACTTCGACAGCATTGTTGAAAGCTTGCAGTTGCAGTTTCCGGACTTTCGGCCCACGCCAGCAGTGTTTCAGTCAGGTGGTTGGAGACAGAACAACAGCCCTCACAGCCACTATTCCAAAGGTAGCGGCAAGTCGACGGTCAGTTCATCATCGTCAACAACGGTTCCGTCATCAGCATCAGCATACAACAGGAGCAAGGGCAAGGGAGGACCACGTCGTGTGTTTCAGACTGAACAGGTGGACCCAGCAGATGAGCCTTGTTCAGAGACGCTGCACGACATCCCGGAGGAGGAAGCCCATGAGGAATTCTTCGAGCCACTCGAAGACCAGGCTGGTGAAGCTAGAGGATGATCAACAAGAACCGGAAGATGGCGAGCCAGACGGCCTCGACGATTCACTGGAGAATCTTGCCAACGTCCTTAGTGTGACGTCCAACAAACTGCAGTCGACGGTTTTGGGCAGGAAATTCTCTGGCCGTCGATCCATCGAGGAGCAGAAGCGGACCAGTGCACGTTCCGCCTGTGGTGCCATATGGGGCACTGGGCGGGTGACGCAGCCTGCAGTGCATCAGCCACTGGCAAAAGCACTGGAAAAAGCAAGAGCAAAGGAAAGGAGCAGTCCAAACGTTTTGGTACTCCAGCCTCCTCATCAAGTGCACCTTCGACAGGTCAACCCAGGAAAGCATTTGTGGTTACATACGGTGACGAAGATGCACACGATGATGAGCACCAGGGTCAAGACACGTATTTCAACTTCCCCACCAGCTATGTCCTCGCAGAACAGTCATGCAAAGTTTACACCACGGAAACCATAGACCTTGCTGGCTACATGGTTCTGGATACTGCATGTCAGCAGTCGTGTGCTGGTGAGAGATGGTTTGCAACACACACCAAGTTGTTACGGAACCATGGGTTGTCCAGTTTGCATCAACATTGTCAAGCCAGATTTCAATTTGGCGCAGGTGGGGCGCAGACAGCCGCAGAGCGCTGCTACATGCCGGCCAGCTTTCGTGGCCAGGAGACCCAGGGAGTTCTTTTTGGTGTGAGCATCCTTCCGTTACCGATCCCGTTTCTTGCAAGTCGCGTTTTGTTGGAAGGGCTTGGTTGCGTGATTGATTTACAACAAAATGTTTTGCGCATGTCCTTCTGTCAACCAACCAGAATGTCAATCATTTCTGGCCTCTGACACTGGAAGAGCGCCCAGTTGTACGCAGCCAACTCGGTAATGCACCGTTCGCGCTTCGAAGACGCAGACGGAAAAACTTAAAGGAAGCATCTTCACCATCACTTCCGAGGTCCACGGGTGAATCTGAGCTTTGACAGCTTTGAAAAGTCTTGATGCAAAGCTCAAGCAAAGCCATGTCAGGAGCAGACAAATTCAACCTGACTTTATGTGTCGGCAGCCGAGGCTTGTCCTGCGGGTGGTGGTTCTCTGCTGTCATCTCTCGCTAGTGTTTTGTTGCTGTCGTTGCTAGCATCTTTACAGAGCCCGGGGAGTGGCTAAGGAAAGACGCAATCGAAATCCACGCAGACAGACTCAACCCACGCAATCTTCTCCTGCGCCCTGCCCGTGCATTGTCAATATTTGGGGATTCTGCTGCCGCGTAATTAGATTGAAACAAAATGTTGTGGCGGGGCTGTGTCCAAGCAAACGCAAGCGGACATGGAAAATATCTGACGGGGTCCATCAGCAGTTGGCCGTTCTTTTCCACTTTGGCACTTTAAACTTCCAGGATCAGGAAGATGCGATTTTCTACCTGTGTGTGGCTGGGAATCAGGATGGCATTGGTATGCTCACCCTTTTTAGAAAACATTGTTTTTCGGATGTTTTAGACCCAAAAAGTTAAGCTTCCAGCGGTCAAACTGAGAGTAGCCAAGAGATGTATAAATATACACAACAATGGCGAAGACATGCAGATGTTTGCCAATGTGGTGTGGATTGGTGTGGTGTGTTTGGTTGGGACCAGCCGACGCCGCGACGCCGCAAAACTGCCGAGACCAGCTCAGGACTTTGTCACGGATTGCCCTTTGTGTGAAGAACGAGATTGCAGAGGAGCAACATCGACGGGAGGAAAATGCCAATGAAGTTCCTCAGGACAGCAGTTCAAAGACCAACTGTGGCTGTGAGTTCTTCTGGTTTTGAATGAACCACAAGCATGGCACGGAGGTTGCAACCCGCCACCTGTCTAGGAATTTACGGAAACATCGGAGTCTTTGGATCCTTGGCGCTGCAGCCTTCGGGTTTGATTTCATATGGATGGCAAGGGCGGTTTAAACGTACAAGTTTGTGGATAGGAAAACTCCTACAAACTTGTTGGGAGTATTCAGACACGCATGAGTCTTAATGGGCTTAGCCTGAGGAGATGATCCGTGACGGACTCTCTGATGTGCGCTTTATTCAAGCTGCAGATGGGTTTGGAGCCAAGTTTTCATTATATAACCATGAGTCAAAAGTCTGTGCCTGTTTCCTAGCGTTTTGATGCGACTTCTAGGGCATATGGCGCCTGGCATCCCTTTTGTCAGGACTTGGCAACCACTGAAGAGGTATCAGTTCATCCTGTTGGGACCACAAGAATCACAGAAAGCCATGATGAAAGGCCCTCCTGACTGAGCCTCATGCGGGGGCAAAGGTGAAGTTCGATTCTTGTGGTTTCTTGATGTGTTTGGTTGTTACATGTTGTTACGTCCGGCTCCACTCAAGACGGCCAGCCTTTTGGCAGGTTGGCCTTCTGATGCCCTGCGCTTTGTTGCAGACCCACCGAAAGGTGTAAACCCAGCAGCACGTCGCAGCATTGTTGATCTCATGCGCCGCCTCGGAATGAGATGCTTGGATGTGAACTTCAGCTTTTTGAGGTTGCCTTCTGCCTCTTCAACCCCTTCATGAAAGACACTGCAAAGACTGTATATAATCCATAATTTATTTACTCTATATGGCTTGACTGAATGCATAAAAAATATATATATATATAGATAGATGTCGAAATGACCTAGGGGAAGTCTATGCAAGAAACTTGATGAAATTGATGGTTTGACATCTTACCGGTGTATGAATAGGAGTGCCTGACTAGAATGTGGAAACGGATGTGTTTAAAGCAAGCTGGTGTGCAAGATGTCTTGTTTTTGCGGGAATGCGTGAGAAACTTGCCCTGTGAGTGCAGGATGGCAAGTCTGAGTGAGGTGTGCACTGTGCGCCAATGGGCTGTTGTGCAGGGTGTGCTCGCAATTCCACATCACTCCACTAGCTGCGTGAGGTGATCGTAGGGGCTTTATGGAGCGCACCAGGTTACAAAACACCACGGTGTCGCAGTCTGCAGTTCACTCCACGAGTTCAGTGGATTCAACATTCAACACATTTGGCCTGAGAGGCTTGTGACACCACTAGCTCAATCATTGCTGCTTAAGTGCACGTAGGGCTGCGTACAAGCGCGCCAAGGAGACTCGCCCACTTTGCTAAAGCGAGCCTCCTTTGTGCCCTTGGAGGCCAGACGACTCGAGGATTTTTATACGGTATACAGTATATTTATATAGTTTTATAACTATACTCAGCAGTATTTGATTTGCCGGAATGTCAGGAACAAATAGGACAAAGTGCCCCTATAATCCTCCAAGCGATGGTCCATGGTTCGCACTAATTGGACATGCGGTGACTGGAATGCATTTTTTAAGAATCAATGTTTATCGTATTTGGCCAATCTAGCATTCGGACTCACGATCACAATCCAGGCAACTGGTGGCTTTGACTTTCTGAGAAAGGATTGGGTAAAGGCAGTTCGCGTGATTCGGGACAGCTCAGAGAGATTGAAAGTGCCTGTGACGCATTGATTGTGTGACATTGGACTGCTGAGGGTGCCAAACTACCCCACTTGATTTGGTTGCCCGGCTGAGCTAAACTTCCAGCATTTTGAACGGCTGAGGATGACCTATCCTCTTGGGCTCTTTTTGAAGAGATCGAGAGGGTTGTTGAAGACGACCTCCGCATAGAGGAAGTACAAAAGCTCTCACTCGACCAGGTGCTATGCGCACGTTACGATTTTGAGTCGCGAAGTCTAGCACAGCTGATTTGGTCGTGTGAGGTCCTGGTCATCGATGGAGACCGGGCAAAAGAAGCTGACATCGACACATTGGATGCATATAAGGGTATGCCTCGCTCGCTGGGAGCTTATCTTTGTTGGGAGGCGCTGGGAACGCTAAGCTGGCGCTGTTTGATGCGTTTATCATTTTGTATCAACATACGGCTCCCTTTGCCCCCTTTTCAAGAGATGCCGATTTCGTGGGTGCATAGATTCAGCTTCCAAGGCTGCTGGAGTTCAAGCCTGATGGAGGCAGTGCGGTGCCCATAGCCAGGCCCTGCATGGCCATGGCACCTGCACTTACAGTACTTCAAACATGGACATGTGAGTGAGGGATCCCACATACAAAGACACTCAGATGTAGGGCTCACAAGAGCAAGTATCAGTTGCTGGATCGCCGATGCACTAACACTTTACCCTTAAATCGTATTAAATCGTTAGTTCTTTACTGCACAACACCGGATGGGAACGGCTTGAGCATACTTCCGATCGCAGGAAGAAGGAGACTGAATCTTCAATGCGTCAGCACTATACCTCGTTAGCCCTCTAATGCGCAACACCGGATGAGAACAGCTTGAGCGATACTTAGAATCACACAGATTGTATTAATTATATAATACAGGTACGTCGAGAGAGCGTCCCCTCTCGATATCCTTGTCTGAACCTGGAGCTTCTTTGGCTCGCGCCAGGAACAGACCCGTGAGCCCCCTGCAATGAAAGCTGTACAAGGTTAAACGCAAAGAAAATACTGTAGTCTGCTTGAACCCCCCACAGCCTCAGCGGTTGACACACACATAAGCCGAATCAGCGCGCCCTTGACCAAGAAGGCAGAAAACCAACCTGAAAAGCCTGACAGGCAGGCCTACCAAACGAAAAGAAAAACAGGAGAGAGCGGCGCATGTGGAGTTGGGGGGGGAAGAAAAATCGACTAAGCGAGCCTGAAGAGCCACCTAACGAGCCTCGAGAGACAGGCCTAACAAACGAAAAGCAACATAGAGAGAAAGGCGGGGGAGTTTTGCTGGAAAGGCATGGCGCGTAGCCAAATAAGCCGTATCGGCGCCCCCTTAACTTGAAAAAAAGGTTGAGTCACAACCTAACAGGCCTTTAGCTACGACGAACCAAAACCTAGAAAAAGACAAGAAAACAAAAGAAGAAAGGAAGCTCATGCAGATCTGTACAAATGAAGCTAGTTACCATTTTGTTGTGAAAAATTGGAACACATGTGTAAAAATGCATGAAAGTCATTCTGAAAATGTCAAGTGGGCCCTGTGGCATTCGATCAGCACCCTCGAGCAAAACGGATGTTCAGGGGGGGATCAGCGCAGAACGAGCTATCAGTGACAATCCTCCTTTCGGGATCTTTCGGGTGTATGAGCACAGCGCCCGACGAACGGGATCACACAGTGCCCGCGGTGGGACGGCGCTGCAGGTCACACTCAGATAAAGAGCAAGTGCAGCAAGTATCAGTTGCTGGATCACCGATGCACTAACACTTTACCCTTAAATCATATTAAATCGTTAGTTCTTTACTGCACAACACCGGATGGGAACGGCTTGAGCATTACTTGGGATCGCAGGAAGAAGGAGACTGAATCTTCAATGCGTCGGCGTCAGCACTTTACCTCGGTACCCCTCTAGTGCGCAACACCGGATGAGAATGGGTTGAACGATACTTAGAATCGTAAAGATATTGTTAAAAATTAATGCAGGTACGTCGAGAGAGCGTCCCTTCCTAGCCTCAACCTGGAGCTTCGTTGGCTCACGCCAGGAGCAGACCTGTG